TAATTCATTATTATCAGGAAGTCCAAAAAACTCCCTGAAAAGCCTTCAGCTAATCCAAAATGCTGCAGCAAGAGTCCTGACAGGGACTAGAAAGAGAGAGCAGATTTCTCCTGTATTGGCTTCCCTTCATTGGCTTCCTGTTAAATCCAGAATTCAAAATCCTGCTCCTCACATACAAGGTCTTAAATAATCAGGCCCCATCTTATCTTAATGACCTTGTAGTACCATATCACCCTATTAGAGCACTTGGCTCTCACACTGCAGGCCTACTTGTTGTGCCTAGAGTATTTAAAAGTAGAATGGGAGGGAGAGCCTTCAGTTCTCAGGCCCCTCTTCTGTGGAACCAGCCTCCAGTTTGGATTCAGGAGACAGACACTATCTCTACTTTTAAGATTAGGCTTCAAACTTTCCTTTTTGCTAAAGCATATGGGGCAGGGATAGCTCAGTAGGTAAAGTGGTCGCCCCATGATCGGAAGGTCGGCGGTTCGAATCCACTTAACGGCTACCCTGAGGTACCCCTGAGCAAGGTACCGTCCCTACACACTGCTCCCCGGGCGCCTGCTTAGTGGGCTGCCCACTGCTTCACTGAGTGAATGGGTCAAATGCAGAGAAAAACAAGTAATTTCCCCATGGGGATCAATAAAGTATCCATTATTATTATTATTATTATTATTATATAGTTAGGGCTGGACCAGGTGACCCTGAATCCGCCCTTAGTTATGCTGCAATAGACTTAGGCTGCCGGGGGATTCCCATGATGCATTGAGTTTTTCCTTTCCAGTCATCTTTCTCACTCACTATGTGTTAACAGACCTCTGTGCATTGAATCATATCTGTTATTAATCTCTGTCTCTCTTCCACAGCATGTCTTTATCCTGTCTTCCTTCTCTCACCCCAACCAATCACAGCAGATGGCCGCCCCTCCCTGAGCCTGGTTCTGCCGGAGGTTTCTTCCTGTTAAAAGGGAGTTTTTCCTTCCCACTGTTGCCAAAGTGCTTGCTCATAGGGGGTCATATGATTGTTGGGTTTTTCTCTGTATCTATTATTGTACGATCTACTGTACATCTTTAAGAAGGGGGACCGGAGGGTGTGTTCCAACTGTAGGGAAATCGCACTCCTCGGCCTCCATGGGAAGGTCTATGCCAGGTTGCTGGAAAGGAGAGTCCATCCGTTAGTCAAACCTTGAGTACAGGAGGAACAATGCTGTTTTCATCCTAGTCGTGGAACACTGTATAGATCCTTCTCAATGATACTTGAGGGTGCATGGGAGTTTGCCCAACCAGTCTACGTGTGTTTTGGTGATTTGGAGAGAGATTCCCAGGGTCTTCTGTGGGGGTGCTCCGGGAATATGGGGTGACTGGCTGGCAATAAGTCGGACTCGTTCCTGGTGGGTGATGGGCTCCGGCAGGGCTGCCCTTTGTTCGTTATTATATCCCCCCCAAAAAAATCAAAATGTATTTCTATAGCACATAAAAATACAACAAAGTTGACCAAAGTGTTTCACAGTCGGTCAGAGCAATACCATAAGACAGAATTAAAAAAAGGAAACAGTTTAAAGGAGGGCAGGAAACAATATGACAATTGTTTGAAACAAAAACTGGCCACGAAATAACATACTAGTTTAAATCAAAAGCGACACTAAAATAATAAGTTTTAAGACACAATTTAAAAGACTGGATGGACTCGGAGGAACGAATATAAGGAGGGAGGTTATTCTAGAGTCTGGGAGCTACGACAGCAAAGGCCCGATCACCTTTGGACTTCAGACAAGACCTTGGTTGCATCAGGAGCATTTGATTGGAAGATCTAAGTGCCTTATTAGGGATATACAAATGAACGAGTTCACATAGATAGCTGGGATCCAAATTATTTAAAATTTTAAAGGTAAGCAAAAGAATTTTGAAATTGATACAATAATCAACAAGGAGCCCATGTAGGTTGGCTAAAACTGGTGTGATGTGGACATAATTTCTAGTACCAGTTAAGAGACACGCAGCTGCGTTTTGAACTAACTGGAGCCGGTGAATAGAGAAAAATAGAAGGCCCAAGTAGAGAGAGTTACAGTAGTCTAATTTGGAAGTGATAAAAGCGTGAATGAGCTTTTCAAGGACCTTCAAAGTGAGGTATAGTTTAGCTTTAGATGTCTGACGCAGGTGGTAGAAACTTTTTTTTTCCCACAGGAGAGATCTGTTTCTTGAGTTTAAAAGAGCTGCCCAGGAAAACACCAAGGTTTCTAACAGTGGGTGAGAGATGGCTAGCAAGGTGCCCTAGGGCATCGGTTAGTTGTTCTAGCGGAGTGTGACTATCAAAAACTATAAATTCTGTCTTATCCTCGTTCAGTGTGAGAGAGTTACGTGATAACCAAGTTTTGACCTCATTTAGACAGTTAAATAGGGGTTGCAAAGAAGCAGAAACATCCGATGTCAAAGGGAAATGAAATTGTATGTCGTCAGCGTAGCAGTGAAAGGAAGTGTAATCCCAACGGCAGCATGTGTTCTTTTTCTTTATAATGGCACGACAACGTGCTTAAATACTGATGGTACACAACCTGATGACAGTGATACATTCAGTAAAAGTTGGATAAAGGGACCAATAGTAGGCAAAGCTTCCTTAAGAAAACACGAGGAAAGGATATCATGGGGGGAGTTAGAGATTTTGAGATGATCACTTATAGCTGTTAAATCAGAATCAGACAGTGGCTTGAACTGTTGAAAGACAGTCAAGCATTGAGGGACTGGAACAGGGTCAGAAACTAACAATGACTAAGATGAGAGATATGCCCTCAGAACTGAAATTTTGCCAGTGAAATATTTAAAAATTTATTATAAAGTACAGGGGAGGCATCCCTATAAGTGAAGGGGCAAGGGTTTATCAAGGAATTAAAAAGACTAATAAAAAGGACTCGGGGATTATGGCAGTTAGACCTAATAATACCAGAGAAGAAGGTAGATTTGGCAGCATGTCCAGCGAGACATGGAGTTTATCTTTTTTCCATTTTTGCTCAGTGTGCCGGCATTCACACCTAAGGGCGCGGGTAGTGTCATTAAGCCAGGGTTGGCGTAACAATTCGGCACTTTATGTCCTCAGAGGTGCCACCGAATTAAGAATGTCGGCACATCTAGTATTAAAAAGGTTGGTAAGTTCCTCCGCTGATAAATCCGCAATACCATTAACATCAAAAAGAGGGGAATCAAAAAAAGCAGCAGTGAAATGAGCAATTGACTGAGAGCTCATCTAGCGTGTTTGCCGTAGAGAACCATCACTATACAAATCAACATTGTTAATAACAGTATTAAACAAAATGGTCCGAAATCCTGAGGTTCTCCCAATTTAAAGCGATCACCAATCGGAGAAAAGAAAAGGATAATGTTTAATCGTTTCCCATACAACTTTATCCGTGATGTCTGTGATGCAGATATCCAAACCATTTGACAGTACCAAGTTGAGTGTGTGACCTTTTGTGTGAGTTGGATCACTTACCCACTGGGTGAGATTAAACAAATTAATAAGAGCAAGGAAGTCCTTGACTAGTGAGCCGTCGGCGCAACAGACATGAATGTTAAAATCACCAACAATTAAAATACGATCATAGCGTAAGACAACACTCCCCAGTAAGTCAGCAAATTCAGAAATAAAATCCTTAACAAATTTCGGGGGGCAATACACCAAAGCACAAAGAAATGAAGGGATGCGGTTCAGTTCCAATAACTGCACCTCGAAGCTGGGGTACAGAACAGATGACAGCTGCCGACATCGAAATTTGTTTTTAAAAACTGAAGCTAGCCCTCCACCTCTGCCAATGGTTCGGGGTGAGCTCAGAACAGTGAAATTGGGTGGAAGCAGTTCTGAGAATGAAACTTGGCTTCACCAGGGCGAAGCCAAGTATCAGTCAAGAATAACAAGTCAAGTCCGGATGAGCGAATAAAATCATTTAAGACAAAAGTCTTATTAGCCAGTGACCTCATGTTTAACAAGGCCATCTGAAGAGTGGTCACACTGTTGCTGGTGCTCCCCCACCCCAGGGGTGGACAGGATTTCTAGGCTTAGCCAAGTGGCAGAAGGCTTTCACTTGGGTGGGCTCAGAACCTCATCTATGCTTTTTGCGGATGATGTGGTTCTGTTGGCTTCATTGGGTGATGGCCTTCAGCTCACTTTGGAACGCTTCACAGCTGAGTGTGAAGCGGTGGGAATGAGAATCAGCACCTCCAAATCTGAGGCCATGGTCCTCAGCTGGAAAAGGGTAGAGTGCCCAATCTGGGTAGAAGATTAGTTCTTGCCTCAAGTGGAGGAGTTTAACTATCTCGTGGTCTTGTTCACGATTGAAGGGAAAAGGGTGCAGGAGATCAACAGATGGGATTGGTGCTGTGGCCACAGTAATGTGGACGCTGTACCGCTCTGTTGTGGTGAAGAAAGAGCTGACTGTAAACGCGAAGCTCTAAATTTACTGATCAATCTATATCCCTACCCTCACCTATGGTCACGAGCTGTGGGTAGTGACTGAAAGAAAATGATTGTGGATACAAGCGGCGGAAATGAGCTTCCTCCAATGGGTTGCTAGCCTTTCCCTTAGAGAGAGGATGAGATGGTAAAATGTTCTAAAAGAAAGAAAACAAGGATTGACCAAATAATGTTTTGTATTTTGGTAGTTAGCAGTGTCCATATTCTGCTCTTCTACTGCGACTCCTGCGCTGCTGACTTTTGAAATCATTCTGCTCACTAACTGGCTCAACATTGGCTCAACAGTGCATGGACTGGACAGCCTAACAGGCTAGCTACAGTGCTAAAGAGAAACCTGGAATTGTTGTCATTTTATTCTAAGGTAAATAAAAAGATGTACTAGCTTCATGGAGTGCTTTTTTTTTTTAAAGACATCAGCTTGTAGTTTAATGATGGTTTACCCTTATTGCTGTTCTTTAGTTTATTTAAAAGTAAATTTGCTTCTGTTTTTCTGGTATAACATCATATCACTTTCTTTGCGATGTCTCCTTTTGTCCCTCCAGATGTCTTACAGCAACATGTTCCTAAGAAGGAGGTGGTACCGACTGAGCAGCAGCTCTGTAATCAGGATAACAACTCCAGTCTGAAACACGGGAAACCAGAATCTCCACAGATTAAGGAGGAACCGGAGGAACTCTGCAGCAGTCAGGAGGGAGAGCAGCTTATACTGAAGGAGGAGACGGATACCTTTATGGTGACCGCTACTTGCGACAAAAGTGACCAAACCGAAACAGGTGGGCAGCAGCTCCTGTTTCTAAGCTCTGCTGTAGCTGAGAACCAAGATCAGGGACGAAGCGAGAAACTTGATTTACAATCAATTCGATTTACGAACAAAAGTCACAAGAATAAAGAAGACCCGACAACATCAGGGAGTAGGTGTAACTCTGATAAAAGTACAAAGTATCTAAAATGTGATGTTTGTGGAAAAGTATTCCGATATAATTATGAAATGACAAGACATTATAGAATCCACACAGGCGAGAAACCGTATTCATGCACTATTTGTGGCAAAGGTTTCGTATGTACTGGCTCTTTAGCAAAGCACAGAAGAGCTCACACAGGTGAGAAGCCTTATTCTTGTATAACATGTGGGAAAAAGTTTGCTTATAACAGTGATTTACTGAGACACCTGAAGACGCACACTGGTGAGAAACCATATCATTGTAAAAGATGTGGGAAAATGTTTCTATATAATAGTAATTTACTGAAACACATGCGGACTCACACAGGTGAGAAACCATATGGATGTAAAACGTGTGGGAAAATGTTTGCTTATAATGGTGATTTACTGAAGCACACAAGAGCTCATACAGGTGAAAAGCCATATCATTGTAAAACATGTGGGAAAATGTTCGGATACAGTAGTTCTCTGTTAAAACACATGGGAATTCACACAGGTGTGAAACCACATCATTGTAAAACATGTGGGAAAATGTTTGCTTCTAATAGTGATTTAGTGAAACACACGAGGATGCACACTGGTGAGAGACCATATCATTGTAAAACTTGTGGGAAAGTATTTGCATATAGTAGTTCCTTATTGAAACACATGAGAATGCATACAGGTGTTAAACCATATCATTGTAAAACTTGTGGGAAATCGTTCACCCGTAACTCTATTTTGACAGAACACACAAGAACACACACAGGTGAGAAACCGTATGAATGTAAAACATGTGGGAAAAGGTTTAACTCTAGAACTCATTTGTTGCGCCACATGAAAACTCACGCTAAGCGGTGCACTATCGATACAAGATTATTGGCTTAGTGAGCTGCTTTGAGCTAAAAGTCAGAGGTTTGTGTCACAAAAGTTACTTTTTTAAAATCTGGTTTTAATTACCCTGTTCAGCTATGAATAATTGAAAGAGGTATGAATATAAATACTGATTTAAAGATTATGGTAACTTACACTGAACACATAAGCTGTTAAAGAGCAGGTAAAGTTGAGAGGTTTAACTGGAATGTGCATATATTCATATATATATTCAAGTATGCAGAAAACGTGGAAATGTTGTACTTGATTCTCTGCTGAATCTGCTGCTAAATCTGTTACACTAATTTAATTGTAGCTATTAGAAGATGGATCACAAAAAACAAAACAATTACTTTAGTTTGCAACAAAGTAAAGCAAATATTTTCTTGGGCTTTGGAACTATAAGCTTTAACATTTAAATGGGTCCAGTTTAAAGTATCAGAGCTCTAGTGAGAGCCGAGTGCACACTCTTGTCATATTTTCAGCAAGTGTTTTATTGGTATATTTTCTTTGTTTTCTATAATTTTTTAATCATTTTATCGACATCTGATAATGTCTGTTTATTCTGACTGAGATTTTAGTTTTGTTAATTCAGTTTATATAAAGGAAGCCTGGTGTGTTGATCTTCATTGATAGTATATGCTTCTTTTTTTTTCTAAAGGGGGGTGCTCTGTATCGCAAAACTGAAATCTAGGAGCTGTTTCTATGTTTTTCCATCTAAATCTTAAACATGATGCTGTCCACTGTGGTGATGATGTGGTTGACAGTCTATCAGAGAGTAAACCAGTTACACTCTCACCTGTGGTAAATATAATCACTGTTTAGAACAACATTCATGTCTTTGGACTGTGGGAGGAAGCTGGAGTACCCAGAGAGAACATGCAGACTCCACACAGGGAGGCCTGAGCCAACCAGGACCTTCTTACTGTGATGGGACGGTGCAAGCCACTGCGACAACGTGCTGCTGGTTTCTTTTTGAATAAATAGAAGATCTTTGTTTTGTTTTAATTGGGGTGGTCTTTTGTATTCATATGTTTTGTTTATTTAGCTCATTTAGTGCATTTATATTAATTTACTGTTAATTTTAAGTTGTTTAAGAATCTAGACTTGCTGTGAGAACCTCAGGTTCAAAGATAGATAGGTGTAAGCGTAACATTTTCATTTCTTGTTCTGCACGCATTAAATAAAGCACTAAACCTGTAGTTAAACTCTCCTGTACTCATTGTATATGACCAAAAGGTTTCTTAAATGTCTGCCTTCAGTAAATACAGATTTTTTTCTGTCTAAATCAGGTCTTTATTTGAGGCTTCTAAGCAGTAAATTGCTAATCCTTTTCTTGCTCTCTCTCTCTCTCTCTCTCTCTCTCTCTCTCTCTCTCTCTCTCTCTCTCTCTCTCTCTCTCTCTCTCTTTATGTATGTACCTATGTATGAAAGCCATAATAAAAATGTGGAAATATAGTGTATATACAGTATCATGTATATTTTACAAAGCCTCTTGTTCATGGTTTTGGTTTTCTTTAGTTTGTAATTCTAGTCCTTCCTTACTTAGTATTTATCTTAGCCTGTGTTTAGTCTCTGATCCCATGTCTACTCAGAGTTTTCAGCCTTACACAGTCTTAATGGTCCACAAGGGCCGTGGACCCCATAACCGCTAAGGCCGGAAGTGCGAGGCTTGTGAAATGGGATGGTCTAGCCTCGGTTGCGCTGCCCAGGTTGCCTAGCAACCATGATACTAACAGCTGGAAACGTTTCATACAGCTTTGTTTGACAGAAATGAAGGAGAAAACCTTTTGTTCATTTGTTTCTACATGAGCTTTGTGTGATTTTAATAAGTATCTGAGGCTGAGATCACGGGACTGTGAAAACATGATTATTGGGCTTCATTACTGCACTGAACACCCATTTTAAGATTAGCTAGTAAATAACAATTAGCTAATGTTGTTCATGAGACCAAAGTCCTCTCACTTTGGGTGAATATAATATGGCCAATATTAAAGTTATTACAGCAGTGAACTTGGACTCTGTGTCAAATACTGAGCTTCAGTAAAGATTCAAGTTGCATTTATTCAAATTTCCCATCACCTTAAATCTTCACTCAAAGATAAGTATCTTTGACAGTGTATGTCTAGATGTATTATATATAAGAGACAAATATATTGTTCATTTAATATGTTGGCATTATTACTTTTGGCTCAATGCTTACATATACAGTGGGGCAAAAAAGTATTTAGTCAGCCACCGATTGTGCAAGTTCCCCCACCTAAAATGATGACAGAGGTCAGTAATTTGCACCAGAGGTACACTTCAACTGTGAGAGACAGAATGTGAAAAAATAAATAAATAAATAAAAACAAATCCATGAATCCACATGGTAGGATTTGTAAAGAATTTATTCGTAAATCAGGGTGGAAAATAAGTATTTGGTCAATAACAAAAATACAACTCAATACTTTGTAACGTAACCTTTGTTGGCAATAACAGAGGTCAAACGTTTACTATAGGTCTTTACCAGGTTTGCACACACAGTAGCTGGTATTTTGGCCCATTCCTCCATGCAGATCTTCTCGAGAGCAGTGATGTTTTGGGGCTGTCGCCGAGCAACACGGACTTTCAACTCCCGCCACAGATTTCCTATGGGGTTGAGGTCTGGAGACTGGCTAGGCCACTCCAGGACTTTCAAATGCTTCTTACGGAGCCACTCCTTTGTTGCCCGGGCGGTGTGTTTTGGATCATTGTCATGTTGGAAGACCCAGCCTCGTTTCATCTTCAAAGTTCTCACTGATGGAAGGAGGTTTTGGCTCAAAATCTCACGATACATGGCCCCATTCATTCTGTCCTTAACACGGATCAGTCGTCCTGTCCCCTTGGCAGAAAAACAGCCCCATAGCATGATGTTTCCACCTCCATGCTTCACAGTAGGTATGGTGTTCTTGGGATGCAACTCAGTATTCTTCGTCCTCCAAACACGACGAGTTGAGTTTATACCAAAAAGTTCTACTTTGGTTTCATCTGACCACATGACGTTCTCCCAATCCTCTGCTGTATCATCCATGTGCTCTCTGGCAAACTTCAGGCGGGCCTGGACATGCACTGGCTTCAGCAGCGGAACACGTCTGGCACTGCGGGATTTGATTCCCTGCCGTTGTAGTGTGTTACTGATGGTGACCTTTGTTACTTTGGTCCCAGCTCTCTGCAGGTCATTCACCAGGTCCCCCCGTGTGGTTCTGGGATCTTTGCTCACCGTTCTCATGATCATTTTGACCCCACGGGATGAGATCTTGCGTGGAGCCCCAGATCAAGGGAGATTATCAGTGGTCTTGTATGTCTTCCATTTTCTGATGATTGCTCCCACAGTTGATTTTTCACACCAAGCTGCTTGCCTATTGTAGATTCACTCTTCCCAGTCTGGTGCAGGTCTACAATACTTTTCCTGGTGTCCTTCGAAAGCTCTTTGGTCTTGGCCATGGCGGAGTTTGGAGTCTGACTGTTTGAGGCTGTGGACAGGTGTCTTTTATACAGATGATGAGTTCAAACAGGTGCCATTCATACAGGTAACGAGTGGGGGACAGAAAAGCTTCTTACAGAAGACGTTACAGGTCTGTGAGAGCCAGAGATTTTCCTTGTTTGAGGTGACCAAATACTTATTTTCCACCCTGATTTACGAATAAATTCTTTACAAATCCTACCATGTGGATTCATGGATTTTTTTTTCACATTCTGTCTCTCACAGTTGAAGTGTACCTCTGGTGCAAATTACTGACCTCTGTCATCATTTTAAGTGGGGGAACTTGCACAATCGGTGGCTGACTAAATACTTTTTTGCCCCACTGTATGTGTAAAAAGAAAATGTATGAGCTGTGATAACTGTTTCTGATAGAATGAAGAGTAGACTGACATATTAAATATTCCTTTATTGGGTGAGAAAATCAGACCATGTCTTAACTAGGGATGGGTATCGTTTAGGTTTTATCCGATACCAGTACCAAACCGGTACTTTTGAAACGGTGCTGGTGCTTAAGGAATGAAGAACAAACTTTGTCCAAAAACCTCTTATAACTGTTTTTTTTTTTTTTTTTTTTGTAAAAAGAAAACAATGTTAGCCTTTTCTGCAGCTATAGGGGATTTATGGTATCACTCTTGGCTGGAAGCAATGCTTAAGCAATGGGGGGGAAACACCAACTTTGTCCAAAAACCTCTCATGTTTAGCTGTTTTCCACTTTTTCTTTGGTCATTTTAGCCTTTTTGGCAAGGGTGGCTGTGGCTACGCTGTAGCTGCCATCACCAGTGTGTGAATGTGTGTGCGAATGGGTAGATGACTGTGTATAATGTAAAGCGCTTTGGGGTCCTTAGGACCAAGTAAAGCGCTATACAAATACAGACCATTTTACCATTTATATGTAGCACTCTTTGGAAGAACTTTATTTTGGAAAAGAAAGAAAGAAATGCTTTTAATAAGAAAATGTCACATTTTATTGTTCCTGCAGTTGGTTTGTGGTTGATGTGGATTTGCTGCTCATGTGAATCCTCCCACAGTGTTTCATTAGCAGCTGTAACCACAGTGACTCTGATAAAACAGGAATTAGCAGAATCCATCTGATATGAAGCTGTGCTTTGAATACCACTTCCCTCCTCTTTGAAGAGTAGTCAGATATCTGTGTTCAGGTTTTTGTACAGCCTCTTCTACACTTTGTATCACTGTGTTTGTAGAGCACAGTAGTAGAGAGCTGTGTCTGCCAGGGTTAGGGCTGCTATGGTCAGATTAGTTGATGTAGAAGATGTTTCTGATTTATATCGATTATCAGGAATATATTCAGCACTGCCTCCTTTTCCTTGTTTCCAGAGTATAAACTGAGGAGCTTGAAGGTCAGAATGATGTCTGTACCAGTGAAGTAAAGCACCACCTGCATCTGTCTCATAGCTACATGTGAGTTTGACAGATTCTCCTTCTGTTTCAGTGACTTCAGGTTGTTGAGGAGTGATTGAGTCTCCAGCTGTTAGTCCTGGAAAAAGAAAGAAGAAAAGTAGTGAAATGCAGTCTGTATATCTGCTTAATGCAGCAGCTTCAACTAAACTTTAATCCCTGTTCTTAAACTCACCTATAATGTGAGATAGAAGCCAAAAGAGGTGCAGCAACATGTCTTTGGAGTTATTAGCTGTGAGCTGTGAGTGGTCTGATGTTCACAGCTGGAGTCAGACCGTTTTCTACAGTCAGGAGGAGGAGCTGCTTTTGTTCTCATGTGATGTGATGCTGCTCTTTAAAGTTTTCCTGCTTCAACTTTGTTCACACAGAGCATCTGGTTCTTCTCTCTGTGGTGTCTGAGCCAAAGAACATCCACTAAACACTCACGTCTGGGCTCCACTTTGAAATACGGTGCATTTCTAGGCTTTTAAAAAAACGCTATGCGTCGCCAGGTGTTTCATCAGATTCGAGGTGTTACCTCCTTTGACAGTATCACAGTATCAGCTTAAAGCACTTGTTGCAGGCTGCTGAGTTTGCATCTTTTGCTGTGAAGTACAGCCAGACTTTTGACCGCTTCGCCTTGGGCATTTTTAATCTGTAGCTCTGCTCTAAAAGAACGTACATACCTGGGCCCGCCTACTATCCTCGGAAAGGTAAAATGATTGGCTGGAATCCAAAGTGTATGACATCTCAGGGGGGGAAAAAAGCACTTAAATAAAGCACCGAAATATGCGCTGCTTTTTGGTCTGGTTACTATCGTTTATGTCAGAACCGGTGGCATAATGGCACCGGATACCGGTACCCATCCCTAGTCATAACTGCTTTAAGTCATACAGAATAGATATCAGAGCCTTAAACAGGCTGACTTCTGCTAAATGGGTCAAACTGGGCAGAAAGTCTACAAACACATAACATCCTTATAGAATATGATGTAACACTATAGATCAACTTAGCTCAGAATATATAAAGCATATAAACAGTTACAGCAATATGATGCAACAAACACAGCAGCTACTGATCCAAAATACTCAAAGCTTCATAGAACTGAAACCAACATTTATTTTAGCTCCATTCTGCTGCTGATACAGCCTTTAGGTTTCTGAACATTAAACTTGTTGCTGCCTTTCATAGTGTGTAACTTGAAGGCCCTGAGTACTCTGAGTACTTCCTCCCACACTGGAAACACTGGGATGATAACATTACGTGAACATTACCTAATAAGACTGATTCAGCACAGACAGT